GCACTCTCGTCTGTTCTTACCCATGAGCAGCAGGGTCAGGCCGTTGAAGAGGGCGCCAACGTACGTCAGGAGCCACATCAGGACTGCAAACTAAAGAAGGAAAGGATTATCAGAGCCCCCCAAACCGTTCCTGACAGATAAGAATCTCATCTCATTGACTCTTTCTTAGATTAGAATTTGAGGCAAAATACGTCATGATTTCAATGGGACGTGAAAGGCGTTTGGAGCCTGTCACAGAATCACTGAAAGAGGACCCAGACTTTAGTTCTCTTGGAACCCTTTAGATCATTTTGTTATAAGATTTGAGAAACTCAGTGAAATAACGGTGTCTAAGCCAGGGGTCAGCAAACTATGCCCCTAACCTGTTTTTGTTTGGGCCCATGTGTTAGGAATGGTTTTTACATTTTTAAACGGTCAAATAAAATCAAAACGGGAATAATATTTTGTGACATGTGAGATGATATGAAATCCAATTTTCAGTGTTCATCGCTAGTTTTACTGGCACGGTCACAGTCCTTCATTTACATGTTGTCTTGCGCTGCTTTTGTGCTCCAATGGCAAAGCCGAGTGGGTGTAACAGAGCACGTGGCTCGCAGCGCTGAAAATATTTACTCTGTCCCCTCCCAGACCGGTTTGCCCACCCATGTTCTCACCCGTGTTCTAACCCACAATTTTTACATTACAAACACAAACATTACTTTAAAAGCACTAAGATAACTGTGATCTCCCTGGTAACTCTCTGTAGGCATTACGGGCAAGTTATCATTCCAGCAAAGCATTTTGACGGTCAAGACCACATTTCTCACTTTTCCTTCTGCCCTTCCTGAACAGTCACCAGGAAGCCCCCGGTGTAAGATCCCTGCCAGGGTGTGTACGGGGTGCTCTGGGATGACAGAAAACTCACACAACCTTGTCCGGGCTTTCCCCGACTCTGCTTATGGCCTTGCCGAATCATGATTGATTGATTTTACAGGTAAGTCAGACAGAGGCCAAAGCAGCTTGTTCAAGGAAACCCAGTGAATTCAGTGAGAGCACCGGGAATGAAACCCAGGCATCCAGATCCTCGCCAAGCACTGGGCCAGGCACACCACGGCCCTTCAGACAGCTGGCCTCGGAGCTGAAACTGTAAGGGCACTATAGGGTCTTACTATTAGCAGCACCCAGAGTTCCCTTCAATGAAAAAGCACAGATCTTTTTCACATCCCCTACACTCAATTTTTATTTTTAAATTAATTTCAGAAAATGGGCTGAGGAACTTAAAATGGCTTATCAAGAGAAAATCTGGTGTGTTGTAAAAAGTATAGCACCAGAAGCTGTGTGACCTGGGTTTGATCCCAGCTCTGCCAATGACTCACTGGGCAACCTCTGACATGTGACTTAACTTCTCTGAGCCACAGTTTTATCTTCTGTAAAATGAGGAGATTAGACTGGATGAACTCCACGGCACTATACAACTGGAGGTCTGACTCCAGAATATAATTAGCACTTGCGTTTTATTCTCCATGATGCAGCAGATTATAACATTATACCCTTAGGGAATACAAAACTCAAGACTGTAAAGTGAACAGCTTAAGCAATCGTACTTTTAAGGAGTCCACCAGGTCCTGGACAAGGAAGAGCCTCCTCAGTTCTTTAAGCGTGCTGTTCACGTAGAACTGCAGGCAGTCCGTGTACTTCTGAATCTGCTCCTGAGAAAGGGTGATCTCGAGCTCCAAGTAGGCCCTGCCAACAGACCATCCCCACAGAGAATTCCATCAGAGGGGAGCAGGAGACAGCTGCTGCACCCCAGTAACAGCCGAGTGTTCTTTCTCTCACTCCGAAGACGATGACCGGGTCATCTCTGGGGGTTATGCCAGCCAGTGGGCTGCACGGCACCATGCACACCCACTTCCGGTGCACTGGGGGACGCAGAAATCCTGATTCTCAGTGACATGTTGTGACTATTTCTGTCTACCAAAGACACGGCATTATAGAGTGAGCTGATAATTCAGAGAAACCGGCTGGGTTTCACAGAGAAAAATCAGTGTGAAATCAGCTCATTTGCTGGATTCTCCATACACGACTGCATGGAGACGGATTGTCTTTTTTAAGTAGTTGAGATATTTAAAAATCCTAGCTGCCAATTATTGTTCCTCACCAAAACTCTAAGAATTCATGTTTAAATTCTGGAATTTACTTTCAGGTTTATCTAAAGAACACTGAAAAATGCAAGTGACCTGTGCCATATTAAAACACTCAATGGTCCTATTGCATGGTATTTTTAGTAATCACATTTTCATTTGTTCAAATGGTTAAATTTAACTCTTGGATAGGTAAATTATATAAAATACAATATATTTGTATATAAAATACAAATATATAAACTATAAAATATAAATATATATGAATATCCACCCAGTGTAAGCTGCCTCCTACCTGGCCAAGCTCCCTCACAGAAGGCCCTCCTTCCTCACTCCTTTCCTTCCACTCCTCCGCTTTAAGAAAGCACCTGTTATCTGCCTAGAGGATCCCCCTAGAATTTGTGAAGTGCTTACCTAATTTTGGGAATTGAGATGAAAAGAGTAAAGCAGCATTTGGCTTGAGTTTTAGGGAGTGTTATGGACTAAATGTTCATGTCCCTCAAAGTTCATATATTGAAATCCTAATCCCCAAGATGATGGTATTAAAAGGTGGGGCTTTGCGGGGGTGATTAGATCACAAGGGCAGAGCCCTCACAAATGGGACTAATGTCCTCATAAAGAGGCCCAAGGGAGCCTCTTCACTCCTTCCCACAGCACGAAGTCGGCAGTCTGCAACCCAGGAGAGGGCCTTCACGAGAACTGACCATGCTGGCACCCTGATCTTGGACTTCCCAGCCTCCAGAACTGTGAGGAATAAATTTCTGCTGTTTATAAGCCACCCAGTCCATGGTATTTTGTTATAGCAGCTGGCAATGCCAACACCTCCCTCTGCCACATTTCATATATCCTCTGAGTTAGTAGATTGCCCTTTTATTTTTACATTTCCTCCTCTTCAATGTACATTCTAATCAGTTCTCCCCAGTATAAAAAAGTGCAGAGGTGGGCACATGATAAGATGCTTCATAAACCCTGCACCCCTCCAGAAGGCTGGCCTTTTGGTGTTAAAGTTCCAGAGAAAGCATGGAAATAAAAATCTCAACACCCTAGTACTGGCTCTGTGCTATTTACTGGTCACCTGACCTTGGGCACATCACTTTACTCCTGGGAACCTCAGTTTTCACGCCTGTAAGTGAGGATTAAGATGCCTGTCCTGCCTTGCTCATAAAGTTGAGAGGATTAAGTTAATTGTTGATACACTCTTTAAATTATGAAACATTGTACACATATAAAGGATTATGATTACCATTAGTAGCAATTAAATTATAAAAACTCAATAAGGAAATAGGTGTTAGAATAAGGATAACTGAATTTGTTTCAGACATTCACCAGAAGTGTTAGATATTCCAAGACAGGGTGTTAGGGGAGAATCTAAGAGGTCTGTCTGGTCTCAGAGAACAGAACCCAAGTGCATCTGTGAGCTGCAATAGAGGCTATTAGGGGAAGAGCTCAGGGACACGGCGGGGCAAGGGCTAGTGGGGCCGGGCACTCACTTGAAAGGGTGGCCCTCGTCGGTTTTCTGCACAGCTTGTAAAACAGACTTGTAGATGCGGAAACTGATGGTGGCTGAGAGAGCAGCAAGGGCCAGGTAGGCCACAACGCTCACCACGCTGAACTGTGTCAGGGAGAAGAGCAGCAGCAGGAAGCTCCCAAACACTATGCCCGTCTGCTTGATGTCCCGCCAGTACAGCAAGTCGATAGCTGTGGGGAGGAAAACAAAACACACCGCTGAACTCTGGCAGCACCGAGAGCTGCTGCGCCTTCTCACCTGGCATTGGGATTCCTAACACAAGTGAGCAGATGTGTAGCTAAGCCCAGGCACTTCCTGTCATTCCACTGCAGTTGGGAAGAATCTTTTCCATCTTGAGGACAGTTCAAATTCACAGATAAGAAAACACCGTTGAATCTCCAGAGACCACATCTCTGTTGGATATAGCTCTGTGGGCTACACCATCTATATAGTGGCCCGAATTATGTGACTTTGGAAAAAAAAACTTGAAAACACAGAGGACTCTGCAAAGTACTTGTTCTCCTCTTTTGGATGGCATTGATGAAGTGTGCATCTTGATGCCCTGCCAACAATTTTATGTCCCAATGGTAGCCTGCAGATGTGTACAGCAGTCATACAAATGCTCCTGCTGCTGACAAGGGGCAATGACCACGAAAACAGAGGTCCTGGAGAAGTGGCGTCTTTGGAAGCACAAAGGAAGGCCTGGGAGACCCCAGTCAATATCATGGGCACCCGGACAAACCTATGGCCTGCCTCCAAGGCAACAGCAAAACAAAGGGGACATTGGCTGTCTCAAGAAACCCAGAGCTGACATTTGGAGTAAACCATTTTGTACAAGGTGATTTGTTTGCTTACATTCTGTAATTTAAAAATCTGAAATGCAAGCTTTAAAATCTACATCCCATTTATCATTCAGTTATTCCCCTCTTTCAACTTAGAAACAAAAAAATTAAGCTCAAAGAATAAAGCCATGGTGCTTCAAATGTGATACAAAGTGGAAATATTCAAATATTCCAGTTACCAGGATATGAAAAAAACACAGAAGTCTTGCTGAAGGATCTGTGCAAATTCATTCTCCAATTAGGCAAGTAACAAATGGTTTTTATAGAATGTTACGTCAATCAGTTTTCAGAGAAAATAAGATGCAAAATTTCCATCTCACAACCAAATGTAAGTGGTGGGGGCTCACACTGCCAGCTATATGTGCACTATACCTGGAGACACCTGGTTTATAGAATTAGATTCCAGTCATTTGCTCAAAGGAAACTGAGGTGACCAGTCTGAGAGAGCAGCGAGCCGTTCCCATCAAACACAGGTGTGTAATTAGCTGAAAGGACAGCACTGAAAAAGTCACATACCCTCGTGACAATTCGAGGCTAGCGAGGTGGCATAAGGAATGTTCGGAGCAAAGTACTAACCCCTTCCTCGGCAACAAACTTACCTCAGACTGCCTGGAGAGTAAATGAGGGGCTTAAAGGTTGAAAGGCTCTTTTACAACAGGCTGAGGATACCCCAGCAATCTGAAGCTGGAGAGAGAATTCACTCCCCACCCACCACCACCACCTGGTCCACCAATGGCATTCACTCAGAAAGATTCCAGCAGGCAGCCATTTTGTTGGGAAAAATTTGTTCCCTTGCTCCTACAACACTTCTGCGACATAGGAAGTAGAGGAGAGGCTCACAACCATGTTTTGGGGGTGAAACAAAGACTTTTTTTTCTCTTTTGAGTAGGGCTGGTCCTAGGTTTCCAAGGGCAAAGGAAAATCGCTGCTGCCCTAAATCCTCTCTCTTTTCTCTACCCCAATCTCAGCCTCATTGACTGACCATTATAAACTTATTCCTTTGGCTTAACCCTTTTCTAGCCTCAAAAATTATCATCTTTTTTTAATGCAAAGATGCCAGAATAGAATAATGCGTTAAAGACTTGCTTATCCTTAATCAAAATTTGAAGGAGTTCACCAAATAATTTTACTTTTAGAATACTTTGTTGAGAACAGAGCACCAAAATATAATCCTTTTCAGGTGAAGAGCGATCTTTCGGAGGACATGACCTGCAATAAACCCATGAGTCCCTGAGGGTACTTGGTAGAAGTGGGAGAAGAAGGCTTCTCCACAGAGGCCTGGTTCCTCCTGGAGTTGAGTGGATTGAAGGTAACAAATCGAGGTGCACCTGGGCCTAGTCTAGACCAGCATTGGCTAAAGGTCTTTGGGACCCTGGGGCCCTCAGTATTTATTCTTTTTGTGCAGGGAGGGCTAATGGGGAATAAAAAGGAGACTAAGACATCACCATTGCCTGAAGTGTTACCTTTTCCACATTTGTTCATTTATTATTTAACGAGCAGGAAGTAAGTGCCAGGCTTTGTGCTAGGTGGCAGGGATATAAAAATAAATGAATTGTAAAGAACAAACACACAAATAAAAAATAAAGAAATAAATTGTAATCTGTGTTATGATGTTCACAGACTCACATGGCAGACACGTTTGGAAACAATACAACACAGGACAGTGTGATTTGTCCTATAGGGAGTACTTCTTAGTGCTAGGGAAGGTGGTTCTCGCACCTGTAAGATATATAAGGGCATGGGAGAACCCGCAAGTAGTTTTCAGACAAAAAGTAGATAGAATTTGCTATTTTCCAGTGAATCCCCACTGAATTAATTGCTTTATACCTGTTAAAAATGGTACACCCTCTAGAAAACCTTCTATATCTCTGGCCACCAAGATACCTGTTCAAAAAGCCAAAGAACGGTAGGCACCAGGTCCGGGCTTTCCTTGAAGGAACTTGGAAGAAAGCATTAACTTAGTAACATGAGTGTGGTGTAGAGTCATCTCCTAGCAGGTCTTTCAATTAACTTGCTAAGATTACAGGAGGTTTCTAATTAGGAGGTTAAAAAAGAATCGTTATCTTAAAACAATAAGCTGTTGATTCTGGGTACTTTGTGACAAAATTATCTATTTACATAGATTCTGAAATGCCTAAAACACTTTCATATATTATCTCATTTAAATTTCACAATAAACTCCATTAGATAGGTGCATAACAAGTGGGGAAGCCAAAAGTTAAGAAACTTGTGTCTTGACTAGTTAGTAGGAGAAGCAGGATCAAACCCTAAATTTGGTCCTTTTTCCAAAACAAAACAGTTGCCTCCTCACATTACATGTCCAATATCCCCGGAAGTTATGTAAAATTAATTTGGGGTAACTGGATTATATTTAAAACTGCTTTCAGAACTAGATATTTTAAGGGAAAGTTTTTGAGTGAAAAGTCATTATCAATAGTAAAGTTATTGATCTATTATTTAGTACCTCAAGAATAAAGAAATCATAAAATTTTGTTCCTGCTTTTAAGGAACTTAAGGTGTAGCGGGGAAGATTGGACATTCATTTAAACAAATGCTGAATCCATGTCAACATATCTTGTATTGCAGGTGGCAAAAGTTGAGTGCGAGGAAGGGACAGTGCTGGAATTGGTAAAGAAAGGATTTGGGATGACATGTGAGCATGCTGAACAGTGTGCTAGGGAGATAGGAAGTATTACAAAGGATTAGTTGACAAGAATGGTGACTAATTAGCTGTGGGAGAAAGGAGGAAGAGCTAATTAGGGGCGAAAACATTTCAAAGCTGGGTGACTGAATGATTCCTATCACTGACAAAAACAGGAAATCTGAGGGTGAACTGATTTGGGGAAAAGCTGACACTTGTTTTTAAACCTCCAGATTCTGACATGGTATCACTGAAGCAGGGCATTTTGACACAGCCTGGGGCAGAGATGGGATAAGGATCACAGATGAAATGAGGTTGACAATTACACACAATACTTACCGAATTTTTTAAAAGCTTGGAAGTTAAATGATTTGTTCTTAGGCTTTGTCACAGTAGCCCTGAGTTAAAATGGTCCTTAATATCATATATCCAATGATAGTCAGATGAATATTCACAGTAGGCAATTGGAAGTGCAGGAATGAAATTTAGTACAGAGGGTGGAATATTTACATTGGGGTGTATTCCCAGTAGAAATGATGGCTGAAGCCATGAGAGTGGAAGAAGTCTCCAAGGGAGGAAAGGCTAAGGGATGCAGCGCAGGATGACACCATGGTTCGAGATCGAAAGGAGTAAGCAGAGCTATAGAAAAGACAGTTCTGAGTATTAGAAAGGGCACCACAATAGTGTAGGTTATGGCAGTAAAGGAGAAGGAAACTTCTCAGAAGAAAGTTGCAAGCTCTAGGGTGGAATGTTGCAGATGCAGCAAGGAAATGAGAACTGAGAAAGGACCACTGGATTTGGAGACTGGAAGGTCATTCATAATTTTGGAGGGAGCAGTGTTAGGAGTAGTGGAGAGGAGATCCCTAGCGTAAGGGGCTGGCTGGGTGGTGGGAAGTTCAAAGTAATAAAGAAGATGGTAGTTTGGGGAGTAGTAGCAGCAAGTAAAGTTTGGGAAGGGAGGGGTGAAGATTCTAGAAAGTGGAGATATTGGATTAAGCAAAGTCTCAGCAAAGGCAGGAAAAAAAATGGGATTAGCCATAGCTCTTTCTTTCTGGGAAGAGAGAAGAAAGAAGGGATGGCTAAAGATGGAGAGACATTTTGGGAAGGTATGAGTGTGGCTACAGATACTTGTTGAGGTGGAAAGGAAATAAAGCAGCTTGGGGTAAATTAACTCAAATTTTCCCTGGAAATTGGTCATGAGGTCTTCCTGAGACTGAGCCATTAGGGGTAGGGCTTCAGTGAGTAGAAAAAGCCAAGGCTGGGTTGTCTAAGACAGTAGTGATGAGCCACATATGGCCACTGAGCACTTGAAATGTGGCCCGTCCCACATGAGGTGTTCTGCATGTGTGAACAATCTACTGGATCTTAGACTTAGTACAAAAAAGGATGCAAAATATCTCATTAATGCTTTTTATACTGATTATATGTCAAAAGGCTAATTCTTTTGGATATATTGAATTAAATTAAATACTTTGCTAAGGTTAA